AAAACGGCGCCTATCGCAAGTGTTCGACTTACATATACCCAACTATTCAACTTTACTGAAGCGAAAACTTTTCGATTCCAGCTCTTCAAATATAAAAACAAACATAAATATGTGGTTAGGTATGAGTGGATATCTTCATATGGAAAGTATCAGATGCCGATAAATATCGATTGGCAGCTATTGTAATATAACAAAAATATATTAATATAAAAAAATCCAAACTTTGACTAAAAACCTATTGCAAATCGATATATATCGATTAATTTTGGATGCATACTATATTGAAATGAAAGATTAAGCAGAGTTCACTTGATTGCCGTTATGAACTTTTGCTTGTTACATAAACAGCATCAAAAGCAATAATACCCTTTATTTGCCATTTGCCCAATGGGCATAGGGTATAATTAATTTCAATTAGCGTCAATTTGTTGAATGTCCCATTTGCGCCACACGGCAATTTGCAAGTCTTTTAAATATAAGTCCAAATGAAAATGATTCATAAATCACATTTTGTTCGATTTTTAAACAATATGGAGAAAACCAAAAACCGAATTCGATTTAAATTTAAATTTTTTGGTATTTAATTTCTTGTTGCACTGTGGAAAATGCAAAAATTATAGTTTGCTGCCGCAGCCACAGCGGCACTTGAAAAGCGCTTTACAGCATATGCCACACCGCCCCCCTAGAGGCGGCGCTCAGGGCTGAGGTTTCGGTTTATCCGCAACCAGCTACTGCGTCCACTGGGGAATCCATATATTCTGCGCGCATTATATTTGCATTCGTTTGCTTTTGTCTTTTACAGTTTTTACGCTTTGTTTTATTTTGCTTTTTTCGCTTTTTGTATTCTTTCATCATCTGAGCATGTGCCACTTGTTTGAGGGCGTGGCAGTCCCCAGTGCATAGCGACAACCATAAATGACAATATGAACAATCTGGTTAATTAACCAAAGACTATTTTATATAGACTGCTGGGAGTGCTCGAAATTGATTGTTAAACAGGTCGAGAGAAACCGAGCCAGGAATAGTATAATAAATATTATTAAAATATGTTATATTTATACATAAATAGCAACATTATATATATAACAATTTATTTTTAATTTATATAAGAAAACTATATTCCACCTTAAATCTATTTTGATCTCCAAGCTCAAAAATCGCAGTAAATATGTAGAGAGAGAGAGAGAGAGCATTAGATAGTTTGTATGCAGAATACTATTCGGAGCTTAACTATGTTTATAGCTGCTTTTATGGCCAGCGGAGCACTTTCAATTAAATTGCAATTTGCGTTGATATAAAATTGCAATTGACGTAATTGGAACTGTGTGTCAGTGTGTGTGTTTTTGTGTGTTTTTAGTGTATACATAGTAGATGTATGTATGAGTGTGGGTGTGTGTATGTGTGTCTATTGGGTGATACTTCTGACATTTTTAAATGCACTCAAATGGCGACTGCACATGAAACGGCAATCAGCATAATTTTAACGATGAATGCAGTTAAAGTTAATTGCATGTAAAAAGTGAGCGCGTGGTGACAGACCTCCATAGGTAATTACATCCCTATCTAGGCACGTGTATGTGTGCATACGTATTTCTATCCATAAGTGGGAGGGAGGGAGGCGCGCACAGATATCGTATATATGTATGTCTGATAATATACAGTTACAACCGCCTAGCCGCAATGTGTCAGCCAAAGTTGTTGAGCTGTTCAAATGGCGATAATTTCGAGTGAACTTTTTGATGGAAATATAAATATTAATTACTGAATAAAGTGTGAATAATATGTTTATTGAAAATGTGGCTTAGGAAATGTAGAAGGCACATGTACTGGTTCAATTTTATGTTTATTGCAAATTGTCAAAAATAACCACATAAACTGGTTCATTTTAATTGTTAGGACGTAGTGGGATGGTTCAACTGGGTTTTAATATATGGCTTAATGGTAGAAGGTTTCTATGTGGTTCACTGTTAACTTCATATTTTGAGCTATGAACTTAACGTCTATATTCAGATGAGAGTTGGGAAATATTCTAATTAGACTCGGAATATGATTTAAGTTGGATTTCAGCCTCGGCTCATGAAATGCTACAAGAAATATTAATATGAACCAGTTCATTTGACGTTTATATTTAGTAATTTGACTTCAGTGTCTACTCTATATGTTCAATCTACTCATCTAAGTTCAATTAGGATTCACGAATTGAAAAAAAAAAAAAAAAGAATTGGTTCATTTACAATTATTATTATTGCACATACTCTACTACTCTATATATTTCTAAGAATATAAGTGCCTTCTAAAATGAATGAAATACAACTGAACCAGCTCATTTGAGATTAAGTTTACTTACAGCAAAAAATAAAATATCTTTAAAAAATACTGATATTTTTATGGAAAAATGCCCTAGTTTCGATCACGTTTACTTTTCGTTTTATAAACTTTGGAGCCAAAATTTATTATCATATTTTTTTCGGTGCTTCAAAATTCCAAAAATGTCGCGTTCACCTAAGTTGCTGTTGCGTGTGAAGATTGCAAAGTTCATCATGCGCGCTGCTTGCTCAAAAGCGCCCAAACCTGAAAGGTGTCCGGAGATCAAGCACACAGGAATTTTTATAAATAATGAGTGGAAGAAAAGCACTTCGGGTGAAAAGTTTGACACCATAAATCCAACCACAGAAGATACGATTGCCTCCATCGAAAAAGGCGGCACTGAGGACATAGATCTGGCTGTGAAAGCGGCGCAAGAGGCGTTCCTGTTGGGCTCGCCCTGGCGTCGCATGGATGCCTCGGACAGAGGTCGCCTGATGAACCGCCTGGCCGATCTCATCGAGCGTGACAGCTTGTATCTGGCGAGCCTGGAGACAATCGATAATGGCAAACCCTTCGCCATGTCCTACGCAGTGGATTTGCCACTGACCATTAAGCACCTGCGCTACTTTGCCGGTTGGGCGGACAAGATTCAGGGCAAAACTATTGCCGCAGATGGTGACTTCTTTTGCTATACACGGCACGAGCCGGTCGGCGTGTGTGGCCAGATTATACCCTGGAATTTTCCCATTCTGATGCTCGCCTGGAAGCTGGGGCCCGCTCTGGCGACAGGCAACACCATTATATTGAAACCCGCCGAGCAGACCCCGCTCACGGCTCTGTGCGTGGCCCAACTGATAAAGGAGGCAGGCTTTCCGCCAGGCGTGGTCAACATTGTGCCTGGCTACGGGGACATTGGCGCCCATCTGGCCAAACACCCGGGCATCGACAAAGTCGCCTTCACTGGCTCCACGGCAGTGGGCAAACAGATTCAAACGTCTGCGGGCGCCGGCAACCTGAAGCGAGTGACGCTCGAGCTGGGTGGCAAATCGCCAAACATTGTGCTGGAGGACGCTGACATGGAGTACGCTGTGGAGACGTCCCACTTCGGGCTCTTCTTCAACATGGGCCAGTGCTGCTGTGCCGCCTCGCGCACCTATGTGCAGGATAAGATCTACGACGAGTTCGTGGATCGCAGTGCAGAGCGCGCCAAGAAACGTAAATTGGGTGATCCTTTCGATGAGCAGACAGAACAAGGCCCACAGATCAGCACAAAACAGATGGAGAAGATCTTGGAGCTAATCAAATCGGGCGAAAAGCAGGGAGCTAAGATGTTAACGGGAGGAAAGCGAGCCAGTCAACCGGGCTACTTTGTGGAGCCCACAGTGTTCGCCRATGTCAAGGACGACATGACTATTGCCAAAGAGGAGATCTTCGGGCCTGTGCAACAGATCATGCGCTTTAGCGACCTCGAGGAGGTTATCCAACGGGCCAATGACTCTAGCTACGGCCTGGCCGCATCCATTTTCACCAAAGATCTGGACAAGGCCAATTTTCTGATCAACTCTTTGCGCGCTGGCACCGTTTGGATCAACACGTACAACATCCTGGGCGCTCACACGCCCTTCGGCGGCTATAAGAATTCCGGAAAGGGGCGCGAGAACAGCGAATATGCTTTAACTAATTATACAGAGATCAAGAGCGTTATTGTCAAGGTGACAGAGAAGAACTCCTGAGTATGATGCACAGACACAGAAGTTAGCACGTGTCACTTTTTAATAGTTAAACAGATTGCCATATTTATTATTATGAAAGATTTACAGCAATTAAATAAATTATATGATTACCTAATTAAAAGTGTGAATAAGTTTTTGATTTGAAAAGGAAATGCATTATAGTTACATATATAACTGCCCCATAAATCAGTGAAATAGAATCATAGACTGACTCAAATACCATCTCTGCTCAAGCTTCCGGGTATCTGCTAATTGGGCATTCCCCACTTGAGTTTTCATACTGACTCTTCGCTGACTCACAGCTCTCCATTAAATTATATTATTCAGTGGAAGCAATTAATAATAATTTTCCCTTTATTAAAAATTTACTGAGCTGCATATCTGCATATCTGTAAAAAAGTTCCAAGAAAATTGAGTTATGAACTATAGCGCTTAGCTATTATTAGCAAAAAAACAAAAAATAAAAAAATAGAAGAGAGTTGATGCTTAAATGCTGTTTAAAGTTTTCCATCTATTTTCGCAAACTATGGGCACTTTTTTCTTTTCTGAAATTGTGTTATGTAATTGAACGCTGCAGAGTAGGACAAAAACTTGGTCCGTCTTTGGGCCACTCGACAGGGCTCGTAGTTTTATTAATTATGAAATTGCTTCCATCCCTCTATATATATATGTATATATAGCTTGAAATATG